ACATTGTAGCCATGACGTCATCCTAGGATGGGACTTTTTAGAGGCGTCTCAAGCCGTTATAGACTGTGGACAAAATGAACTTGTTCTAGAAGACATCTGTCGAGACTCCACAGCGCCTGACGCCTGGAATTTGTATGCCACCAGGGACTATACACTTAAGCCGCATTCTTTAACTAGAATAACAGTATCAGGATATCAAACCCGAGGAGACATAAATGTAGTTCTAGACGGCAGCAAACATTTGCTCTTCGAGAAAAATATTGCTACACCGTCCATGGTATCCACATATCGTAACGGAAAAAGTGATGTCTGGGTTACCAACCTGCAGTTCCGAAACCAAATCATCCCTAGAGGAATGTGCATAGGCCAAGCTGAACCACTAAATGAAGGGCATCTATGTGTTATTTCCGACGCATCGGGTTGCTTGATGACCAGCAAGAAACTTCGGAGTCACGGATGAATTGTTCGTTAATGATGTCACCCGAGTTAAGTGACGAACAGAGAAACAAGCTATCCGAACTACCCGAAATTTTCTGGGCTTTTCACGAAGACCGACAAGTCGACAGCCGCGAAGACGAATGTGAAACACAGGATTTTTACTGGTGATCATGCTCCAATCAACCAACGAGCCTACAGAGTCTCGCCGACTGAAAGACGCATCATTCATGAAGAGGTTCAGAAAATGCTTGATGAAGGTATCGTCCAACCCTCTGAAAGTCCTTGGTCATCACCCGTTGTGCTCGTAAGAAAAAAGACGGTAGTTGGCGTTTTTGCGTCGATTATCGCAAGTTGAATAGCGTCACGAAAAAGACGTTTATCCTCTGCCTCGTATTGACGATACGCTCGACTGTCTGAAAGGTGCTAAGTTCTTTTCTTCCATGGATCTCCGATCTGGTTATTGGCAAATAGAAATAGACGAAGCGGATCGTGAAAAGACGGCATTTATTACCCCCGAAGGCTTATACGAGTTTAAAGTCATGCCGTTTGGTCTCTGTAATGCACCTGCGACCTTCGAGAGAATGATGGACAATTTGCTACGCCATTTTAAATGGACTATGTGTCTTTGTTACCTAGATGACATAATAGTGTTCTCAGAAACTTTTGAAGACCATCTTATACGATTAAGACTTGTTCTAAAATGTCTTCAGGAAGCTGGTCTTAAATTAAATTCAAAGAAGTGTCTTTTGCTGCCCAAGAAGTAAAGATTCTAGGCCATCTTGTATCTAGTAATGGCGTTCGTCCCGATCCCGACAAAATAAAAGCTGTAAGAAATTTTCCCACTCCAAAGAATATACATGACATACGAAGTTTTCTTGGCCTTTGTTCATACTTTAGAAGATTTATTAAAGGTTTCTGTTATCTCGCCGAACCTTTGCAGTCGTTGCTGAAAAGTGGCGTGGAGTTTCATTGGGGTCCTGAAGAGGTGGAAGCATTTAACAGTCTTAAGAAAGCACTTACTTCGGATCCAGTATTGGGGATGTACGACGAAAGAGCTTCTACAGAAATCCATACTGATGCAAGCGGGTACGGTATCGGAGCTGTCCTAGTACAAATTCAGAATAATGTCGAGAAAGTTATAGCATACGCTTCTAGAACTCTGACAAAAGCCGAAAAGAATTATTCCACCACAGAAAGGGAATGTCTTGCCATCGTATGGGCTACCAACAAATTTCGGCCGTACATATTCGGGAAACACTTTACTGTTGTAACTGACCATCATTCCTTGTGCTGGCTCATGAATTTAAAGGATCCTTCAGGAAGGCTTGCCAGATGGGCCCTCCGACTTCAAGAGCATGATTTTGACGTAAAATATAAAACCGGTAAGAAGCATAGTGACGCCGACGCTCTTTCGAGAAATCCAGTGGAAGAGGAAACGGAAACACCAGACAAATTTTTAGCAGTCACGATGAGTATGAACCTTGCGATGGAACAGAAAAAAGATCAAGACCTTGCGAAATTAAAACTTTTGAGCAACTCATCCAAAAACGAAGAATTCAGATTCATCGACGGTATCCTTTGCAGGAAGAATTTTGATCCAGATGGAAAGTTGTGGTTGCCAGTCATTCCTAAACATCTACGAGCAGACATACTAAGGCACTTTCATGACGCCCCCACCGCAGGACACCTTGGTTTCGCGAAAACTTATGACAGGATTCGCAAGAGATTTTACTGGCCGGGAATGTACCGAAATGTCGTTCGGTATGTCATGCATTGTCGGGAGTGCCAAAGGAGAAAATCCGTTCCTCAACGACCACCTGGACGTTTAGTTCCCATCCCTCCAGCTACAGCTCCTTTCCATCGCATTGGAATTGATCTCCTTGGGAGATTTCCAAAGTCTGCTCATGGAAACAAATGGATAATAGTCTGCACGGATTACTCAACACGATATGCAATAACAAAAGCCTTGCCGACAGCCGAAGTCGACGAAATAGCGAAGTTCTTACTTGAAGAAATTGTCCTCAGGCATGGAGCTCCTCGAGTAATTATCACAGATCGTGGAGCCGTCTTTCGATCCAGACTTGTTTCCTCTCTCGTCAACTTGTGTAACATTGATCATCGTTTCACAACGGCGTATCATCCCCAAACAAATGGACTGACGGAGCGCTTCAATAAGACCTTGGCCGACATGTTGTCGATGTATGTGGATGTAGAGCAGAAAAATTGGGATGAAATTCTACCATTTGTAACCTTCGCTTATAATACCGCTAAACAAGAGACCACAGGTTTTACGCCGTTCTATTTACTTCATGGTCGTGAAGCGGAAACGACACTAGATACAATGCTACCATTCTGTCCTAACGATTTTGATGACAATAACATCACCAAGATAGCAGCCAGAGCCGAAGAATCACGACAGCTAGCCCGAGTGCACACTCTGAGAGCTCAAGACAAAGATCGTCGACGTTACGATTCCAAACACCAAATGGTATCTTACGCTCCCGGAGATCTCGTATGGGTTTATACTCCAGTGAGAAAAGTCGGTCTCTCCGAAAAACTCTTAAGAAGGTATTTCGGACCGTATCAGGTGCTACGCCGTTTATCAGCCGTGACTTACGAAGTACAAGATTTTGATCCTGCTTCACGAAAAAAGAAAACTAAGAGAAGTTGTCCATGTACTGCGTATGAAACCGTACCATGATCCCGCCGAGCAAATCGAAACCGAGGATATTCCTCCCAAAGAATCATACAAAGGACCCATCACTCGTTCCAGAATAAAGACCCTTGAACAAAATGACAGCGGGGCGCTGTCTTCTTTTTCGAGGGGAGCAATGCCGCACGCATAAGTCCCGATACCAAGTCCCGATAGCCGAGTTGGCACAGCGTTGGACTGAACTTCCTCAGGTCTCGGGTTCGAATCCCGGCCCCGGCAGATTTATCCAAAGACTGGAATTTTGTTCTCGTTTTTAATGTATTGTTTCTCTAGGTTCTAGATGAATCCAGATCATTCTTTAGAGTGCATACTGGTTATTTCTCGAATATTCCGAAGTGTATAAAAGCAGAGTTCATCGCCAGTTGGGCATGTTCTCAGTCCAGTGTTGTATCGAGCTCCCAGCGTAAGAATAAATCTAATTGTTTGTTTAATTGAACTGTGTACTTCTTTCGAACTCCGTGACAATATATATATATATATATGTCAGGTTTGAAAAGTTTAGGTTCAAAATTAAGGAAGTAATAAATGAAAATAGAGCGAACTCTTTACCATCGCGTAAGGATTTATGAGTAAACAAGCCTGTTAAAAGGAGCAACGAGCGCTGACGAAGGCGAACGCATACTAGAAAGGACTTGGCTGGTGTCTCCTCGCTGCGATGTTGTATTTGGTAACACCCGGTTGCGCGGCAAAAGGTCCGCCATGTTAGATTATATATGATGAAAGCTTAATAAAGGAATATTGTGAAGATGATGCCCTCCTCTTTTTACCAGCAGGCCTGGGGCCTGTCATATATATATATATATATATATATATATATATATATATATATATTTAAATATATACATAAATATATATATAAATAATATATATATATATATATATATATATATATATATATATATATATATATATATATATATATATATATATATATATATATATATATATATATGCCGGGTGGCAATTAAAATGCAAGTGTCCAAGGATGCTGGAGAGAAAACTTCCTGGAATATTCCAGGGAAATTAGGTACCTACACGTTTCAGAACATGCGCAAGAAGTTTTTATAAGGAATGCTTATGATTAGAAATTGACCCCCTGAGTTCTTTTTCTATATTTAGCAGATATCTATATTTTATCTTCTAAGCAACTACTGCATTTTGCAATATGTTCAATTCAAAAATTAGAGAAAGGAAAAAGTAACATAATAATTATCCTATTATTTAATTTATTTTTTGCTTAAAAGTAGTATACAAAATTTTAATATTTATGTTACTAATTTGTATGGTTTATAATTAAGATCGCCTTTTGCAGCGTTAGCGTCAAAGTGCCTTATTATTGCATTCAGTACATTATTAATGTATAAGGGGGCGCGAAAAAATTGTGATCGAAAAGGGGGCGCAGGATTGAAAATTTGAGAAGCACTGTCTTAAAGAAATATGGGAACCACAAGAAAATTCCAAGTCATTCCACATAGTTGTAGAAAAATCCTACCATTCTGATAGAATATCTTCACTAACAATACACGTGCCTTCTTATTTAGATACATGATTGGCAATTAATTAATGTTGTCTTATTTTTATATTGTTCTATGTGCGTAAAACTTTGCATATATGCAGTCGAAAATCATTGAAACACGGCACCTGTTTTTTTGCATATTTGATTTGCGCATGTTCTAAAACGTGTAGATACCAAATTTCACTGCAATATTACCGTTAGTTCTCTCTCCAGCATTCCTTGAACACTTGCAGTTTAATTATGGCAGCACTGTATATATATATATATGTGTGTGTGTGTGTCCGTATAATTACATATGTGTGTGTGTTTTACTCAAATTTAAAATTGCTTATAGCCTCCTACCAGTATAGTGGTTAATGATGCTGAATGCGTTGTCAAAAGGCCTGGGTTCAAATCCCAGAGAAGGCATGGATGTTTGTAAATGGATAGTGACTTCGCGTCAAGAGGGTACTCTGAATAACCGTCGATCCACAAGTCGTCAGGTAAGGTTGGTGTATTTTCTCTCAAAATTGGGGTGGAACGGAATCAAAAACACACCTGCATGATGCACAAAGCTTTGGCTAACAAAAGACGTAAAAATTAGCCCCTAGCCGCGATGAATTTCGTGGACCTTGATCTAATATTACTGTCGATCAGGTGGCATAAGTAACAATAACGTTAGAACAGAATTTCTTATTTGAGTAAAGTATAAATAAATGTCTAATTCATTTTTACTATGGACTCTGTCCATATTAACATTACAAGACACTTCAGTTAAAAAAATTATTTTAAAAAGAATACTCCAATAGATACCGTATACATAACATATACTTTATCACCAAAATTCAAAATGTAAATGCATTTCTCTTTTGTAGATAAAGTTCATTAATCGCAAAAAATTAAATCAACAGAAAAAATATAAAATTTTATTTTAGGTAAATTTAGAGAAACAACGAATAAATTAAAAAAAATAACTATAAAACAGCTTACGTCAATATAATTGTAGTATAAGCATGTGGAAGACTTAAAGACTTGAAAATTTTTGAATATCTAGTCTTCTATGCAGCGCAAATAATTAGTTGACATTTATTTATGCAAAATTGATATAATGCAAACAATTTTGAAAGTATTGGCGAATGAAAGAAAGAAATACCATATTAAAGAAAAAAAATGTTTTTTTTTCAAATAAAATGGATGAATAAAAATCAATGTGTAAGGTGTATATATGCCGATAACAACCATTTTATGAGCACATTTTTAATATGGCTTTAAATATACATAAGTTTATTTGAAGAACGTTAATATATATATATATGTGTGTGTGTGCGTATGTGTAATACATCATATACATAGTCGTATCTATAACTTAAATTTGAGAAGAAAAATATTGCTGTATTTGTTACTATAACTTGATTAATTTTTCTATATAAATTTTTAAAAGTAAACAAACAATTCCATAAACTGTTTTCAAAGGAAGACGAAAATTTTAAATTAGAATGTAAAATCACTGTCAGACGCATTCTTAAAAGAAGTATGTTTTTGTATACACTTATTTAAGTAACATTAATTAACTTAGTAGATTTAATTTAAGTAACAAACGCGGATCGGAAAAATATTCGTAAAAAAAAAGCAAGTGCTCTGACACATAACTATAGTTCTGAGGTGATTAAAACATTGAAAAGTAATTATTTATATAATGTCTTTAATATTAGGTAAATTTTCCTTAATGTCAATATTCTGCTATTATGGCAACATTTCTATCCTATAAAAATGGATACACAAAGAAAGTATTATCATAATGAGAATGAAATATGTAGATTGCTTGTGAAAATTTAATTATAATTGTTTTAAATTAAATGAATACTGTATTAAAAAATAACTGCTGCTATAGCAATAATAATAATAATAATAAGCTAGTAATTTTTTCCCTCTAGTCACTGACACATAGAGCTGTAAAATGGCATGGGTAACGAACAAAGGATTCCAGGTACCAAATTTAATACTGCTCTCTCACGTTTTAAAGCTGTGTGGTGATCAACAGTCAAATGATGGTCTTATTGCTTTTCTGGACGTCTTCAGACATATTTTCAGTAGTAATGAGGCTCAATTTGAATCGAGACATATCGCTGTAAATAATTTTTCTCCAGTTCATTAGATTTCAGATCGAATGCATCCTGCACCACTGTAAATGTGAATGATAGTATTGAGTGATGACTAACATTTAGCGCAGTGGCCTCTGTGATCACAGTTCCTTTTATTCAAACATTTATTGATATCATCATCATATTTGGTGTTCCTGTTAGACGTGCGAATCAAACCCGCATCTTTCAGTACAATTGTGAGTCCTTTCCCAAATGGTGACATCCACTCATACTGATCACAAATCTGTCTAGAACAAATTGATCCAATTCACCTGAGTCAATAGATCCACATTCACAGGAACACCATGATTTTTTGGACCACCTAAATGATTCGTTGCAATTTGCTAATGCCCAGCTACTCATTGGGTCATATACCACCGAAATTTAAGCATTTGCATTGTAAGATTTCTGTACAGAAGATGGTAACAAGCAGAAGTGAAATTGAGTTTTTAAAACTGAAAGTGATCCAAGAAGGGGAAGATTTAGTTTTTTAGAAGAGTGAGTATCGATATTTGTCAAAATTTATTTCCAGTTTGTAAAGATACAAAAAATTGTAATTGGTGTGATTTTAAATAGTTACTTAAATCTTCAAAGTTTTATTTTTCTAATCCTTTATATCATATGCGTCAGACGTTGGAGCATATTGTATCGCAACGTATGTTTACAGTTAATTCCATTCTCTAGAATGTTCACTGGTAGATTGATTTATTCTATGGGATTATGATGTTTTTTGTATTTGTACTAATTGGCTTTCATTTTAACAAACAAGAATACATAAACAATATTTTATCTTCTTATTTCAGCCCAGTAATGTAATGAACTGAAGGAAAATTTGATGCCTTGTAACTATATCCAATCTCTCCTGCAATGTTAGTCCCAAATCTTACAGTTTATTCTTGCAATTGAGTCTATTCTACTCTGAATTGTACACTCTTACTTTTTCTTTATAGTTCCACATTAAGTTAGAAATATATTAATTTAGTTTATTTTTAATGAATATTTGCATATATGTATACATTTGTAGTTTGATATATGTATAGTTATCACAGAAGGTAAATTTAAAAATTATCCGTTAGGCTACACAATACATATATAGAATAAAATGTAGATCATATATTATGCAAGGGATAAGAGATGTATATGGAGACAAGAATGAATAATACAATATAGGTTAATGCTATTTATATGCTCATAAATTCAAGAGAGAATATTGATGTAGGATGAGTTTTCTATTTAAAGATAAGTAGGCTCAAGTTTGGTCTCATTAGGAAATGCTGAACCATATCAATAGTAAAATGCACTTAACATTATACCGAAATATAGTTCATCCAAAATATAGAGGGAATTATCGTTAAATGTTACTTAACTTCACAAATCATGCAGTGAAACATATTTGCAGCCTTAACATATTCAATTTTTTTGACTATTCATGAAAAATTAATCCTCGAAGTAAATCCTCCCCCTCCTTCTAAACCGAAATTTTCTCTTAGTCTTTTCGAATGAGGGCAACAACTGCAAAGCATATTTTATTTACTTTTCTTCAACTGAAAACGCCTAAACGTCTGAAATGCCATCCGCAACCACCTTCTTTCATCCAACTAACAAACTCTCGCAAAAGTGTCTAATGTTGCACGTGTTTACCAACGCAGGCAATAACCATTCATCCTGGGGGACACCCGACTATAAATATTTGAGGAATCCCCGGGATTCGTTTGTTTTAATGAAAGATGGTGAGGTTGCACCACGTTCCCGCGCGTCCCGGAACAAAATTACGCACTATCCGTGACTTACGACCCACTTGCGAACCCATAAAACTGTAATTTCCGTCGATTGTCTCCTGGAAGCCTTTTTTTCCTTCTTCCCTCATGCTCCTTTGGATACTTTCAGATTTTGTGGTTAGGGTTTAATACTAAGTTCTGTAGCTTAATAGAAGTGCGCCAAACTGGGTTGTAAATTTTGTGTTCTTGACAGGATTTGCGTATGAAAAGTGCTCGTGTGAAAGTTTTTCGAGTTATAGTAGTGTTTCAACACTCTTCGTGTGACTTAATATCCTACATTGGTGACATAGTGTTCTATTCTAAGAAAACTTGCTTTTTTATACATCACTTTTAACGATTTGTTTTTTTTAAGTTGCTGTAAAGTGGTACAAGGTCTTTTTATGCTTCTGAAGTAGTAACTTTAGTAGTTATGGCCTCATTTGGTTACATTGCATATATTAGTTCTCATTTCTACGTCTCTTACATTACGGATATTAACTACTTTTTATTGAGCAGACTCAAAAGTCAGAAAATCCAATTACGTAACTGTCAGAAGTATTAATTGCACACCTTCAAAATGATTCATTGACTTTATTTTAGTACAATTTGTTTAAGCTAAATATCTTGAAGAAGTTCGGCAAAAACCAAAATTGTTATATTTTAAACACGCAAAGGGCAACTTTTTAGTTACAAAATTTAATAACGAATCAGATTAAAATGATTAAAAAAAGAAAAGGCCAAGAAACTAGCATCATTATAATATATATATATATATATATATATATATGTGTGTGTGTGTGTGTGTGTGTGTGTGCACGCATGCGTGAGTGCGTATGTGCGTCTAATAAAAATTCATCTCATTAGTAATCAACCCCTCCTAAAATTTTTACCTATGTCCACAGGTTCATTTAAACCTTTCTTTTTGTGTTTCTCTATGCATCTCAAAACACTTGAGTCTGTTTCAGACATATACCTCTAAAATTTCTTGAATTTATTTTAATGTTTAGTTATGAAGCGTAATAGATAAACATTAAACTGTGTTTTAATGCAACTGTTTCAACAAAAATAAAAAAAAAATAGAAATTATAATTCAGTGGAAATATTCCTGAAAATCTTCTGTGGACTGTGGCACTTTTAAAAAATAAAAAAAAATATGTTACTAAACACATTTTATTTACATAACATCTTTATTGTTATTTATTTTTATTTTCATCAATATAAGAATAATTATGATAAATATAATCGTGATTTGTATTTTTTATATTTTTAGTTTTCTTATGTTGTGAAAAACTCATTAGTTATACAACTCTATAAGTTTTATAACGTATATAAGATGAAGAAATTTAATTGGCTTAAAATTTTCTATTTTATGGGGCTTAAGTGTATGGTTTTACATTCTCTTTTAATATTAATATATAAGAAATTTAAGAATAAACACATACGAAGTAACAATACCATTAATTTACCTTTATTGAATTCATCAAAGCTTAGAGTTTCTCTTACGTCAACTACTCTGTGAGTTTTGCATTAC